CAGAAAGAAAATAAATAAATTACCTAAAGCTTTCTACGTGAACCAATGCATGTTGGCCAGGCTGGTCTCGAACTCCTGACCTCAGGTGCTCTGCCCGCCTCGGCCTCCCAAAGTGCTGGGATGACAGGCGTGAGCCGCTCGCCCGGCCCCCATGGCATTTCTAGAGTTGCTTGTGGCAGGTGTGTTTGGTCGAGTTCCTGGTCAGCACCCCCGTGTGCACAGGTCGTGTGGCTGCTGCGCTGCGCCCGGCGGCTCACACCTGTCATCCCAGCGTTTTGGGCGGCCAAGGTGGGATCACTTAAGCCCAGGACCAGCCTGGGCAGGAGAGGGGGGGCCCCAGTTTTCTATTAAAGGCCACGTGCAGTGACTCACGCCTGTCATCCCAGCACTTTGGGAGGCCGAGACGGGCAGATCACGAGGTCAGGAGTTCGAGACCAGCCTGGCCAACACGGTGAAACCCCGTCTCTACTAAAAATACAAAAATGAGCCGGGCGAGGTGGCGGGCGCCTGTAATCCCAGCTACTGGGGAGGCTGAGGCAGGAGAATCACTTGAACCCGGGAGGCGGAGGTTGCAGTGAGCCGACTGCACTCCAGCCTGGGCCACAGAGCGAGAATCCGTCTCAAAACACACAAAAGAGGTGCAGCGTGGAGCCTGCCCTTTTGGAATCGCTGTGGCCAGGCGGCCGCTCCTCTAAGCCCCGCTTCCTGCCCTTGGTCCCCGAGTGTCCTGCGGGGTTTGTGTGAGTCCCTGGGGGCCGAGGCCCTGGCGGGGAGGACGGGGGCCTCAGTGTCCCTCCTGTGGTCGCACCTGTGAGCTGCCGGCCGTAGGTACCGCTCAGGCCCGCCTTGGTTGCGGGGCAGGGGTCTGTGTGCTGGGGGTTGAGGGACTGGGCCCGGGAGGCCTGTGGGGGCTTGTCCGAGCGGGACCTGCTGTCCCTGCACCTCTGGGGTCTCCCTTCCCGACGGGGCCTCACCCCCTCCTCTGGCTGCTCCCTGAGGTCAGGCCGGGCCGCGCTGGGGAAACGGGGCGGCTGTGTCCCCGCAGAGGGGCTGTTGTCTGGGGCACGGGTGGGCAGGACCCCCTGGTGGCGGCGGCGGCCCGGGCTGCTGTGGGACCCGATACCGGGGTGGAGAGAGCTACGCCCTGGTGAGGACACGGCCGGCGAGCGGCAGCCCCCAGCGGACACGTCCTGGGGCCTGGGGTGCGGTCGGGTGCTGTCCCCGGAGACCAGAACGGCGGCTGCCCAGGCTCCGGGTGGCGTGTGTGGGGTGCGGTGGCCAAGCCTGGGGGAGCTGTGGCTTCTACAGAGGGTGCCGGGGTGGGGGCATCGCTGCCCTGCCGGGGTCGGCCCGCGGGTCACGGGGAGCTTGGTTCGAGGCCCCCGCGGGAGCCACACAGCAGCGTCTGCCGGGTGAGGGGCCGTGTCTGCGGCTTCGGGGTTGGCAGGGCCGTCTGTGCCACGCGGGGTCTGGGCCGGCCCGGGGGCTGCGTCCCCGTCACCCACAGACGGGGCCCCTGTGCCACGTGGGGTCTGACCCCTTGGCTTGGGCGGGGCGGCTGGTGGGCACCGTGCTGGGGACGACCTCCGGCCTCTGCTCCCCCCCCCCGGCTCTGAGAGTCCCGAGGGCCTCCCTGCTCCCCCCGGGGCCGTGTCTCCTCCGGGAACTGCTGGGCGCGGCTGGTCCGGCTCCGTCCAGTTCCTGCGTCTGATGCCCCCAGTTCTCCCCCAACGCCCCGTCTCCCTCTTCTCCGTCTCACGGCCGTCCAGGCCCCGTCCCCCGCCCCAGGCTGGGGCCCCTCGTTCTGGGGAGCCCCCGTGTTCCCAGGCCCGTCCCTGCCGCCCCTGGGGACAGCGCTGTGGGGGCCGCTCTGGCGCCAATGCTGGGCACCTGGGGGAGGCGCCCGGGGACCTCAGGGCCGCGGCTGGCACCTTTCACGGTCTCCGGGAACCGGGCTCCGGCTGCGGCTCCTCGGTGAACCCGGGGCTGCCCCCTGGACGCGCTGGGATCTGACACGAAGGGACCCTGCGAGGGAGGGCGGGTGGGGCCGGCTGAGTTCCTGCTGGGGGATCTCCAGGGGTGACGGCCGCGAACCGCAGGGCGCCCGGGACGGCCATTCCCGGGGGGGGGTGGGGGGGAAGCCACAGGCGCCCCCACCGAGCCCTGGAACGTCCTGGCCCCCGTCCTGGAGGGACGCCGGCTGCTGGCCACTGTCAGGGTGACCCGGGTGCTTGTTTTGTGGGGTCCCCACCACACACGTGGGCTGTCAGGGGAACGGACCCCTAGAGCAAGTGGCGGCAGGACTGCTGGGCTCTGGGTCTCCCCGCCGCGCTGCCGTCCACGGGGACCCCCCCCCCCACTTCCCCGGCGGAGGCTGAGCGTGCACGGCCGGCCCTGGTGTGGCCCAGGACATCGGGGCGTGGCTGGGGGAGGAGGGGGCGCTTGGGGGATGCGGTGAGTACGGGGGTGTCGGAGGCTGTGCGGGGGCCTCACCAGGGACGTGGGTGGGGGACGCTGTCTTTCCTTTCACGGCCCCAGGGAGCCCTCTGATGTCTCAGCCTTGAACCCCCAGCTTTGAACCCCCATTGGGGGCCTCCTAGTGTCAGGGTGGGAGGCGGAGGGTTCCGGTCAGAGGTGAACCCCCACTTCGGCCCCCTCACTCCCATGACCATGCCTGTGGGGGGCCCTGAGGTGGTGGGGGGCGGACTTGCCCAGACGGGCTCCCCCGAGCGCGGGGCAGGGTGGGCCCCCAGGCCGTGGCTCCCGGTGCCATTTCCCTGCGGTGGCCACAGTCGGACCCACCTGCCCGGCACCTGTCCTGTTGTTGGGGGTCCCTGACCCTTAGCAGACCCAGGTGGGGGCGTTCTCCGGGAAATCCGGGGAAATGGGACACTGAGGACACCTTGGGGGCAGCGGCCGTTCCCTGGGAGGTGCTGCCACGTCCCCCCACTGCCCCGAGCCGCCGCCGTCTCTCCTCGGGGTCGCGGGGACCGCCCTGTGCGTCCAGCTCCCTCACAGCCAGGGCTGCGGTGGGTGAACGGGGCGTGTGTGCAGCTCTCGGGGTGCTCCCGCCCCCCACCCTGCCCACCTGTTCCCGGCCGTGTGGCCACGTCCCTGTCCGGGGGGAGCATTTTGTCGTGTGCGAGGAACGGGGGTCTTCCCGTGGTCACCACCCGTGACCCTCCCTGGCCTGTGGAGGGAGCAGAGCTGGGCCTGGGCTCAGCTGCGTCCGGTGCCCCTGGCGGGCTCGTGGCCCCCCCTGCACTCAGCGCTGCGCCTGGCGGGGGCTCCGAACCCCCTCGTTTAGGCCCCGACTCGGCGCCGGCTCCTCCTTTCCGGGGTGGTTGGTGGACTGCGGGCTGGGAGGGAGCGGCCGCGGCTGTGGCCCCCGGGCTGGGGAGGAGGCTCGGGCTGCACCTGCCCGTGGCGTGGCCGCGGCCCCATCCGGCGCGGCCGTGTGTAGATCCGGACTGAAGCCCACGCCGTGGCTGAGGCGGCCGAGCCCGCGACTGAAAATCCAACGTTCGTTCAAAAACGCAAGCGCGATCGCCAGCAACGCTCTTGTCCGTTTACACAGAACGTGCAGGTTGTGGCGGCGGCTCCTGTCCGGGGCGGGCAGCGTGCCCGGGAGCCGCGGGTCACAGCTTGGACCTTTCCAGAGAGACGAGGCCCCCGGAACGGCAGAGGCCGGCGGGTGTCCGTGTGGGCGCCTGTCCCAGTCCCGAGCGGCCCTCGCGTGTCCCCGGGGTGGGGTCACCAGGCCCCGGAGCCCAAGGCCGGTCCAGCCGCAAACCCACGGCGGCAATTCACACCACACGCTTCTGTGAATAAATAAAAATTTACCATTCCGTACAAACGCACGCACTTTCCACAAAAGAGAACAGTTTTTACACAAGCCGCGGGGGCCGTGGCACGTACAGGGGGCCCCCGCGGTGGGGTCCCCGGGCGGCCTCACAGCGGCTCCAGGTCCTCGTCCCCGCACGCGTACTCGTACAGGTCCACGGCGCCCAGGGGCGAGGGCGCCTCGAAGAACGGCCTCTGGGCCAGCGGGGACCGCAGGGCACTCAGCTTCTGCTCCACAGGGCTGAGCTCGGCCTCGAACCTGCAACGAGGGGGTGGTGAAGGCGGGGCCGGCGGCGCAGAGCCAGGCCCTGGAGACAGCGCGTGGTTTCCGGGACACGCAGGCCGCCCGGGCCCAGCCTCCAGCACCAGGAAGTCCCGTGAGCCGACCCCGAGCTGTGGCCGCTGAGCCGGCAACAAGCTCCACGAACGCGCCCGGGGCGTGGCCTGCGGGGCAGGTGGAAACCCGCAGAGCGAGACTCTGTCTAAAATAAATAAAACCAGCCCCCGCAGAGCGAGACTCTGTCTAAAATAAATAAAACCAGGCCCCCATGGGGTCACTGGTGAATTCTACCAGACACTGAGGGACGGAGTCACAGGTGCTGTACACAAACTCTTGCAGAAACTAAGGGGAGAGCAGACTGCCCCGCATTCCACGAGCCAGCATTACCCTGATACCCAAACCAGACCAAGACATCCCACCAAAAGCCGCGGGCCGGGCGCGGTGCCTCCGGCCTGCAATCCCAGCGCTGTGGGGGGCCGAGGCGGGAGGATCGCCCAAGGTCAGGAGTTTGAGACCAGCCCAGGCAACATAGCGAGACTCTGTCTCTAAAAAACAAAAAATTAGCCGGGTGCTGGGGGACACCCCGTAGTAATTAGCTGGGCGCAGGGGGACACTCCTGTAGTCCGAGGTGCTCAGGAGGCCGAGGGTGGAGGATCGCTTGCGCCCAGGAGGCTGCAGTGAGCTGTGATGACACCACTGCCCTCGCCTCGGTGACAGAGCAAGACCGTGTCTCAAAAACAATAATAAAGTACTAAAGATAATCTTTGCAAAGAGAGTCCAACCCCATATAAGGATAAAATGAGTAAGATCTATGCTGGGAACACACGGCTGGCTGAAGACGCCCCGGTGTCACTCACCATATGGACAGACAGACAGAAGAACATGGAGCCAGAGCATCTGAGACACTCAGCCCCGTGTGGGAAAACCTCCGCCCACCAGGAAGAGGCCAGAGCACCCCCTCAGTGAGCGCGCTGACCGCTGGGGGAGGGGAGACGCCCCCAGGACTGGGCACCAGGACACACACGAACCCGCACAGCTGTCACGCTGGACGTGGTCGGCCCCGACCCCACCCAGCAGCGTCCAGGCCGCGTGGGCAAGAGAAAGAGACGGCCACGCGGGGGTGAAAAGGAAGACAAGACGCGGACCCGCTGACGGACACGAGGCCGTCCGCGCAGGAAGCCGCAGAGAACCTACAGAGCGTTCAGATCTCCCAAGTGTGTTGCGTCAAGTTGCAAAACACAAGGTCAATCTATGGTATTTCCATCGCCGCCAACGAACCAGCGGAAACGGGAATCTTAAAAGTACCGTTTACACCCCCAAAGTGGGGCGGGGGACAGTGGGCTGGTCCCACCCCGCATCCCCGCGCCCCACGTCACTGTCCCCGGTGTCCCTGCACTGTCTGCCGCACCCCCTGTGCCCCGTAACCCCCTCACTGCGCCCCGCGTCCCCGCGCCCCCTCACCGTCCCCCGAGCCCCCCGCACTGTCCCCCGCACCCCCCGGCCGCGCGCTCACCCGTCCTCCCAGGGCTCCCCCGCCGTCTCCTCGGCCACCAGGATGTCGTACTCCTCGGCCGCGTACTTCTCCCAGTCCGAGAGCTCGGGGCCGCTGCCGTCACTGTCCTGGGGGAAGCGCACGCGTCACGCACCCGCCTGGCGCGGCCCCGCCCGCGCGCCCCCCGCACTCACCCTGAGCAGCGAGATCTGCTCCTTCTGCTCGTGGTCCAGGTACTTCTCGATGTTGAAGAAGGTGTCGAAGAACACGCCGGCCAGCTTGCAGCGCTTCAGGTCCTGCAGCGTGATCCTCCCTGGGGAGGGGACGTGTCCCAGGCGTGAGCCCGGCCCCACCTTCGGCGGGGAAGACCTGTGGGCTGTGCGGCGCGCGCCTCGGGTCACACGCGCTTAAGGACGCGGCCCGGGGCTCCGGGCTCTCCCGCCACGGGTCTGACGGGACAGGCGGACACACGCGTGGTTCTGGGCGGGGACTGAGGTGTGGAGGCCGCGGTGCGGAGGCGGCTCGGGGCCACCTGTGCCCCGAGGACGCAGGGACTGGGACGTGGTGCACGCGCCCCTGGATCTGAAATGACAGAGCCCGGAGCTCCCCGTGCAGGCCGTGGCCAGAGGGTGCCCCGGGGACACCGAGCACCAGGAGGGCCCCAGCCAGGGAGAGGGACGGCTGCAGGGTGGTGCCCGGGCCTCGGAGCCATTTCCGAAGTGAAAGTGCCAGAGCTGCAGTCTGAGATGCAGAAGGAAGCCAAGTAGCGGAGACGCTCCCCTTTGCCTCACTGGCCCTGGGAAACGGCCGCTCCTACTCTGAGTTGGTGACGAGGGCCAGCACCGCAGGTGTCCGGTCTCACCGCGCAAAAACCTCCTACTCAGGACCCCCCACACCGGAGGGCAGGAGGAGCTGGGACGACGGGTGGCAGGGAACACGGTTGAGGGGGGGAGCCAGGGGGTGAGAGGGGAGGAGACAGAAGGGGTGAGAGGGGAGGAGACAGGTGGGTTAGAGGAGGAGACAGAGGGGGTGAAAGGGGCAGAGCCAGGGGGTAAGAGGGGAGGAGACAGAGGGGTGAGAGGAGGAGACAGAAGGGGTGAGAGGGGAGGAGACAGAGGGGGTGAGAGGGGAGGAGACAGGGGTGAGGAGAGGAGACGGTGGGGGGAGAGGGTTGGACCACTGTGTGTGGCATCAGCACAAACGTGGCAATGGTCCCTCAGCCGGTGCCGACGTCGCCAGTGAGCCCCGGCCTGGGTTCTCCAGGCCACCCTCGGGGGTGTGACCTCCCGAGTAGGAGGTTCTTGTGTCGTGAGACTGACACCCGCGGTGCTGACCCTCGTCACCAACTCAGAGTAGGAGTGGCCGTTTCCCAGCGTCCCCCCACCCTGGGCCGTCCTCTCGCCCACCTGTCCCCTCACCCTGGGTCGTGCCCTCACGGGCGTCACCTTCGCTCCTCGGCTTGACCAGGTCCAGCATCTGGCACAGGCAGTCCTGGAAGGGCAGGGCCTCGATGGCCATGCTGTCCAGCCTCCGGCACTGCTCCTCGTAGAAGTACTCGAGCTCGAACATGGACAGGGCGCCGTCCCCGTCCAGGTCCATGCAGCGGAACCAGTACTCGATGCTGCGGCACAGCGAGCTCTGTCGGCCCCCGCCCCGGACCCTCCCAGCCTGTGCCCTGCGGCCCCTCTGCCAGGCGTGCGCGCATCCGCCCGTGCCCTGCAGCCCCCCACCGTGCGTGCATGCATCGGCCTGCGGACACACGTCACACGGGCGGCTCCCGGTCCTGCACTGCACAAACCCGCACCGCGGCAGGAGCCCACCTGGTCGGCGTTTTCTTGTCTTCCTCAGAGATCAAAAACCAGACAAAGTCGGCGTAGCTGATCTTCCCTTCCTTCTGCGCTTTTCTGCCTCTAGACCCCAGGCCAGGATGGAGAGATGAAGACGGTGTCAGGGACAGCTTCCCAGGCGTGGAGCCCCTGCCCATGACCGGGGGCGAGAGGGGTCCCCCGGCCCAGCTCTCCTCCTGCCCCTGCAGGGAGGACGTAGAGGCCCCGTGGCCAGAGCCTTCCCGAGATCCAGCTGGGGTCAGCAGTGCACCCGCACCACGGCCACGGCCGCCTGGACGCCGGCAACGTCCCCTTCCCGGGGCTCGCCCAGGCCCAGCGCCCGACAAGGACCCCCGACCTGGGGCACGGGCCGCCCCTTCCTCAGACCTCACATGACAGAGTCTCGTGCCCCCTACTAGGGTTTCGGGTGACAGAGACACGTGTCCCCTCCCCAGGGGCTGCGGTGACGGCCACTCGCTGTGGGAACTCCACAAGCTCGTGCCAGGCAAGGAGGAGCCGGGTCCTCGTGGGGCCTGAGCCGCACGTACCGCGTGACTGCTCCCGAGAAGATCCTGTCGATCATCTTGGTAGAAATGGCTGGAAAGGAAGGGGGTTGCTGGATGGACAGCCCGCACCGCGCCTCGGCCCGGATGTCACGACCCCCCCGAGCCGAGCCTGGACACGGGGCAAGGACCGAAATGCCCACAGGCGGCCCCGGGGCCCCCGCACAGGCCCCTCCCGGGTGCAGCCACACCTGCCCTTCGAGCGGACCAGGGGAGCACGAAGCTGACCGTGGTTCATTAAAGGGCGGAACCTTCAGGCCTCAAAGGTTCCGCTTCCAGACGCAGAGTGAGGCCTCAGTCCGCAGCCTGGGCGGCCATCCCTGCGGTCACCCGTGTCCCGGGCACGCACGGGGCCAAGACGCCCCTACTCAGACCGCCCTGCGTGAGAAACAGCCCAGCCCGGCCGCACCCGCCATCGCCCGGCCGCACAGGCCATGCTGCCCGGAGACCCAGAGTGGGCACCAGCGGAACAGGGAAAGCCGGGGCGGGCCCGGGGTTCCCAGGGACAGCGAACGCCTGGTTCGGGGCCGACTCCCCGCGGTGAAGCCGTGGCTCGGGCCACACGGGCGGCTGTGCCGAGCTGGGCTCTCCTCGCGGCTACGTGTGGGGTCCAGGGCGCAGGTGGCTCCCTGAACCGGGCACAGGACAAATGCAGGGAACGCTACGTCTGCTCTGGGGCGCGTCCCACGCACGCAGGACGGGGGTCTACGGCGGCCGCGCGGCCCAGGACCAGCCCCGGGAGACCCGGACGGGCAGAGCCCACATTCCGGGCACCAGGCACGCGAGTCGGCTGCGCGCAACAGGTGCCACCGTGACTCGGAAATACTCTTGGTCATACGGTTTTTTGGGGGAAAGCAGACTTCAAGGAACCCTTTAGAAAACTGCAGCCCCACAGGCCACAGGCACGTTCTCGTTCCCGGAAGGCGGCACGACTCTTAGAGAAGCCGGGTGAGGACATCGCTCCGCGGAGGGATCTGACCGACCTCTAAGCCCGCGCTCCCCCTAGTCGGGGATGGGATGGAAACTGCTCCCCGCCTTGGGGGCTGGAACCTGGAGCTGAGGGACGCAGCTGGTCTGCACGCCCTTGCTCGCCCTTGCTCGCCCTTGCTCGGGTGTTAACAATGAAGCCGCGCAGGGCTGCAGGCCCTCAGGCCCTCGGGCCGGGTGCGGCTGTCTGAGCCTCAGGACCAGCGGCCCACCCGGACCCTGTAGACGCCCGGGGGCGGAGGCCTCGCGCAGAGGCGCACGCGGGGACCCAGACACGGAGCGAGGAGTGGGGAAGGAGAGGCAGCTGCAGACCCGGGAGGCCCTGAGAGAAGAAGGGTCTGCTCGGTGTCCCCGCGCCCCGCCCGCCCCTCTGCCCCGCTCACCGTGGTCATTGTGCCGCGCCAGGTCGTGCGCGTCGATGAGCAGGTCGTGGTCCGTGTCCAGCTCCCAGAACTTACAGTAGATGACGTAGAAGTGCTCGTAGGAGAAGAACTCAGTCAGCTGGTTGATGTCCGCCTCCTCCTCCAGCAGCGCCACATTCTGCCAAACGACCCAGGCGGCCTGAGCGCGGGGCCTCTGGGGGGACGCCCCAAGTCCGGGGGGCTGCGGGCGGGGGCAGGGAAGGCGGGGTCGCTCCGAGTTGGGGCAGCTCTGCGGTGGGGGGAGCTCCAGCATGGGGGCGGCTCCCTAGACGGGCGTGGGGATGGGGGGCAGCTCTCCGGGAATCAGGGCTCGGCTCCCCCTGGGGCCCCGTACGGCCCCCCCCACTTCGCAGATCAACCATGGACCCCCAACTGCAGGCGGCGCGGTGTCGGTGCTCACAGGCCTGGGGGTGGGCAGGGAGCGTGGGGGAGGTGGGGATGGGGTGTGAGTGCGGGGGAGGGGAAAGGAAGGAGGGGAAAGGAGGTCGGGGGAAAGTAGGGGGAGGAAAGGAGGGGGAGGAAAGGAGGGGGAGGGAGGGACGGAGGACAGGACAGGGCAGACGCGCTCCGCACCTGCAGGAAGGAGCTCCTCCGCAGCTCGGCGCAGGTGATCCTGCCGGACCAGGACCGGTTCACGGTGTAGAAGATCCGCTGGATGACCTGCGGGGGCGCCGTCAGTGCGCTGGGTGCGCAGACCCCCGGAGCCTCGCCCCGCGCGGAGACCCGGAGCCAGGGAGAGGGGCGCGGCCTTGGTCTCAGCCCCACCAGGCTCCCCAGGGTCGGACGGGCGGGGGCGGCGGGAAGGGCCCTGCGGGAGGCGCCGCCCCAGGCCGCGCAAAGCGGGGAGGGTCTGGCCGGGGACGCCCCGGAACTACGCGGGCCCAGGACAGGTGGGAAAGGAGCGCGGCCACCCCGGAAAACCAGAGTCCCTCCAACGCCGGGCTCCCGGGCACGGCAGACCCGTTGCCAGGAAACAGCCGCCTCCTCCCGAAGCTCAAGACCCCGGACCCCGCCTGCCCCGGCCCGCGCTGGAACCGCCCCCGGGCTCACCCCGGCCCCTCCCCTGGGGACCCACCGTGGTGATGTAGCGCGAGTGGAACTCGGACGCCTCCTTCAGGAACGACAGCCCCGGGTGCGTGTTCACCACGTCCTGCGGGTGGGAAGACATGAGGCGTGCGGTGTGGACGCCGGCCCTTCTGTGAACTGCGGTGTGGACACCGGCCCTCCCGTGAAGTGTGCGGTGTAGACACTGGCCCTCCCGTGAGGGGTGAGGCGTGCGGTGTGGACGCCGGCCCTGGCCCTCCGGTGGAGTGTGCGGTGTAGACACCGGCCCTCCTGTGACGCGTGAGGCGTGCGGTGTGGACGCCGGCCCTCCTGCGAGGTGTGCAGTGTAGACACCGGCCCTCCCGCGAGGGGTGAGGCGTGCGGTGTAGACGCCGGCCCTGGCCCTCCGGTGGAGTGTGCGGTGTAGACACCGGCCCTGGCCCTCCGGTGGAGTGTGCGGTGTAGACACCGGCCCTCCCGCGAGGTGTGCAGTGTAGACACGGGCCCCCCTGCGAGGGGTGAGGCGTGCGGTGTAGACACGGGCCCTCCCGCGAGGTGTGCAGTGTAGACACCGGCCCTCCCGCGAGGGGTGAGGCGTGCGGTGTGGACACGGGCCCTCCCGCGAGGGGTGAGGCGTGCGGTGTAGACACGGGCCCTCCCGCGAGGGGTGAGGCGTGCGGTGTGGACGCCGGCTCTCACCTGCAGGAAGGGGACGAAGTCGTCTGGCACCAGGTAGTTGCAGCCAGGGCTCATGAGCAGATGGACGAACTTGGCCGCGTCGTCGTGGCAGTTGTGGAGGATTCTGGAAGGACAGGATGACTGCGCGCCACCCTCACAGGCCTGTGCCCATGCGCGGGTTTCTCCTCTCACGGTGGCAGCCGCAGGGGGCACCTGTGCTGACGCCAGGGGGACCCGGGGACGCCTCCGCCCTCCCGACACAGCCCCGTGCCCGGCCCAGACTCACTTTCTCCACATGGCGACGAACTTGTGGACGGACACGGAGCCCGTGCGCTCCCCGCCGGCGCCACAGAAGAGCGGTCCCTTCCAGTAGAGCGGGCAGCCGCAGGCCTGGGGCAGAGAGGGCAGCAGTGGGCGGTCAGCGGGGCCCGGACGCCTGCGCTCCTGCTGCGCACCTGCTGCGCTCCTGGCTCCTGACCGGCGCTGCTCGGAGACCCTCTGCCGCGGAAACACGCAGCACACTCAGCCAGGCACGTCCGGGTATCTGCAAACTCAACCTGGCGTTCGCTCCGGCCTTGGAACCGAGTCAGGAGAGCTGAGCCACGGAGTCCGGGCACACAGTCCCCCGACCAGAGACCACACGCGGGCACTGTAAGCAGAGGCGGCTGCGTCCCCAGTGTCTGCAAACCAAGCGGCGCAGACTAAGGACCAGTATGTGCGGGAAGAAATGGCCGCGTCAGCCAGGCAGGTGGTGAGTCCCACAGCGACGGAAACATCTTAGGGAACGTGTGGGACAGGCCTGCAGCACAGCCCATGGCAGGTTCCCAGCCTTAAATACACACGCGAGGAAGGAAAGTTTAACATCAGTCATCTGCACTTCTACCTCAAAGTCACACACACACGGCAGAGATGGAAGGAAAAACAGTCAACAGAGAAAATCAGGAAAATCAAAACTTGATGATTTGAAAGATTCTTAACAATTAATTAACCCTGCTGGGCGCGGTGGCTCAGGCCTGTCATCCCAGCAGTTTCAGAGGCTGAGGTGGGCGGATCACGAGGTCAGGAGTTCGAGACCAGCCTGGCCAAACATGGTGAAACCCTGTGTCTACTAAAAATACAAAATCAGCCGGATGTGGTGGCAGGTGCCTGTAGTCCCAGCTACTCAGGAGGCGGAGGCAGGAGAATCGCTTCAGCCTGGGAGGCGGAGGTTGCAGTGAGCCGAGATCACGCCACTGCACTCCAGCCTGGGTGACAGAGCGAGACTCTGTCTCAAAAAAAAAAAAAAAAAAAGGAGAGAAAACACAGATTAGCCACGTCAGCTGTAACTACAGACCCTGCAAACATCAGTCAGTGGATGCTCATGAATCACTTTATGCCTGTAAGTCACATGACTGTTGAAACAGACTCCCTGAAGAACAGTTCAAGTCAAAAAATAAACAACAATAGAAAATCTGAAAGGGCTGTTTCTGCGAGAAATTGAATCCATCATTTAAAAGTGTCCCACCAAGAAAATTCCAGCCCCCAAATGCGGCTCCCATGAGTGGACCAAACATTTGAGGAAGGAATCCCAGATGCGTTAACATTTAAGGAAGGAATCCCAGCTGCGTCACCCTGGAGAATAAACACGAGGGGTGTTCCCAGTGTCTGTTCCGAGGCTGGCACAGCCTGGACGTGGTCAAGGACACAGGGATTCCCAGGCCGGTTATCCCTAGAGGCAGAAATCCCACGCAGGACACACACGAGCAAGTCCAACTCGGCAGTAATTGAAAACCCACAATAACAACCAACCAGGATACCAGAAACAGGACGGACACTCTCATTGTAATAAAAGGTGCTATGGCCTGACTGCCGGGTCCCGATCTGCCTGTTGAAATCCTCTCCCCTAAGGCGACGGTGCTGGGAGGTGGGGCCTCATGAATGCGATGAGTCTCCTCCTAACGGCCCCGAGAGCTCCGTCGCCCCTTCCCCCCTGTGTCCATGGACCAGGCAGCAGGTCCTCGCCACGTTGCCACACCGTGATCGTCCAGCCTGCAGGGCTGTGAGCAATGAATGTCTGCGGCTGAGGAGCTGCCCGGGCCGTGCTGTTGTGACAGCAGCCTGAATGCTCTAAGACACGGGGCATCCACGAAACACCCCGCTGCTCTCACACAGCGATGACACACGAACGCTTCCTCCCTGCGCCGGAAACAAGAGGACCGTGTCACTGCCAAGCCGCCTGGACGGCCGAGCCAGGGCAGCAGGCAAGAGAAAGGCTGGAAGATGCCACGACGGGGAGGAAGAGGCAAAACTGTCTTAATTCACAAGCAACAAACTGTGCAGACAATCCAAACGCTTACCCAATACGGGAATTAATAAGTGTCTTCAGCAAAGCTGCTGGATCCCAGGACAATATGCAAAAATAAATTATTTCAATGTACTGGCAACAAACAACTAGAAAATAAAATCTTCAATAATGCTATCTATCGAGGGCATTTAAAAAAAATCAACCTATGAAAAAATGGAACAAAAATCACACACAGGGCCATGCGCGGTGGCTCACGCCTGTCATCCCAGCACTTGGGGAGGTTGAGGCGGGCGGATCGCCTGAGGTCAGGAGTTCGAGACCAGCCTGGCCAAGATGGTGCAACCCCGGCTCTCCTAAAAATACAAAAATTATCTGGGTGTGGTGGCGGGCGCCTGTAATCCCAGTTACTCAGGAGGCTGAGGCAGGAGAATCGCTTGAACCCAGGAGGTGACAGAGAGAGACTCTGTCTAAAAATAAATAAATAAATCACACACAATGTCTACAAAGCAAACTACAGGGCACGGCTGGGTGAAATCAACGACGACCTAAACGTGGTGACGTGGACCTCACTGCACTCCTGAGTTTACAGACTGCAGTTTCCTCCAGACGACTCTGCCGACCCACAGAGTCCACACAATCCCCACCCAGAGTCCACGCAGCCCCCCCCCACTGAGTCCACGCAGCCCCCACTGAGTCCACACAATCCCCACCCAGGGTCCACGCAGCCTCCACCCACAGAGTCCACACAATCCCCACCCAGAGTCCACGCAGCCCCCACTGAGTCCACACAATCCCCACCCAG